GAAGCTTAGTGAGTTCCCCAAAATACCACATACAACACATTAGCCACTCGAGGCTATAACTCTGTAAGACCCTCCGGTCAATGTGTCTCAATGGGACCCTCCAGTCCCACAACTCTGATGGACCCTCCGGTCCTAACTCTGTGGACCCTCCGATCCTAACTCTGTGAACTCTAAATACCACATAGCATAAATCACACAGACATAATGCAGTAATATCACAATACTCAAATAAACACATAAGACCCTCTGCTCACACATAGATACCAGTTTAGGTAAAGTATAGTGAGAAGACTCACCTTGGATGATGAACAGCCCCTATAAACGCTGTTGCTACACACCGACCTCTAACTCTGAGCCAAAACCATAATTAACCCAATTAGGAACTAAGTCCAGACTCTCACTCATTAGGTTTAAAGGAAGACCACTAACCAGCCCATTAATAGCCTAAAACCCATTGGGCCCACCAAGGCCCAATAATAAATGGGCTCACCCGAGGCCCATTCTCAAAACTAAATGGCAAGCCCAACTCAAGGGCCCAAGCACGAATATATATATATATATATATATATTGCAACAAGCCCAAACTCCAGGCCCAACACTTAAGGCCCAAAATGCGACTTAGCCAAAAAGTCCACAGTGAGGTTACGCGGGGCGTACCTCCCTTGGTACGCTCAACGTACTCACAATCCATATTTGGCCATCGGGGACACTGGGGTAGTACGCGGGGCGTACATGAATTACGCTCAATGTACTCCCCAGATTCACACTTTCTACTCATTTGGTCTTAATCAGTTAAGAGATTAACTCAAATCCCAGATCTGGACTCCCTAATGGCTCTTACTCCATAAAGTCAGTGACTTTAAGCCTTTGCATGGCTGGAAAGGTCACAAACACCCAAAACACTCACTCCCTTATCTCAAAAAGCTCATAACACATGCATGGCTTGATTCCAACGGCCAAGATTGGATTTTTATGACATTACACCACTAATATACTCAAAAGGGGTTGGTTCTAGTCGCTGGAACTCAAGAACTCATAAAGTCTCCACCTTTTTGGGACAAAACCCTAAAAGTCTCATCTATGATGCACATAACAAAAGAGTGGTAAAGTTTGAAGCTTTATACCTCTATATGAAGCTCCCAACTCAGATTTGCTCAGATCCAAGAGCTTGGACTCCCACTCCTTCTTCTCCAAAGCTTTCTCTTCTCTTCAAGAACACACAAACACTCTCAAAGGCTCACAAATGCACTCACAAGCTCTAAAACGAGTGTTAGGGCACACTTAGGGTTTGATGTTTGAGAATGGTGGCCAGAAATGAGGCCATCATATCCTTTATATAGGGGGCTCACCCTAAATTAGGGTTTTCACTCTGGGCCTAGTACGCCCAGCTAGGGATGAGCATATGGACCGGGGAACCGGCCGGAACCGGTATCGGAACCGGAACCCGATGGAACCGGTCGGGCCGGGACTGGGACGTTATTTTTGTAGATTTTTAGAACCGAGAACCGGTAGGAACCGGAACCGATATAACCGGCAAAAACCGGTAGAACCGGCAAAAACCGGAACCGTATGATGCTATTTTTCGAGGACCGGTTCCAACATTTGAAGACACGACAAGAACCGGTAGGAACCGGGAACCGGTAGAACCGTCAGGCCGGTTCGGTTCTTGATTTCGGCCGAAGCCGGTTCCTGGGTCGGGTCCGGTTCGGGCCGGTTCCAGCCGGTGCGGTCCTTTTGCTCATCCCTACGCCCAGCGTACTAGGTGACTCTGCTTAAAACTCACGCACATGAGTACGCTAAGCGTACACATATGTACGCCCATCGTACTTAGATGTCACCTTTCTCCAATAAGGGACTTATCCTGCCACAACTTCAAAATTCCATCGCTTCCTCGATATAACCCTGATTCCCATGAACCTCAAACCCACAGAAAGGTGACGAGATGCCCTAAGCTTCTAGCAACTCGTCGCAACCCCGAGACCTCCTCATGCCCGGTTGCAGCCCACGAACCCTAATCACAGACACTCCAAAACAAGATGTTACAGTATGGATGACGACCACAAACCTTTCTAGGAAGTCCAGTGGAACGTTAGCAAGCTCGCAACCTGTAGGTGTTTGTGAACAATGTGTTCACGGGTGTACTCCATTCCCCCTATGGTTGCCTTACGGACACTTATGGCTGAGGAATCCCCTTAGCAGTAGTGTCCATCCCGATGAAATTCCTTAGGATAGGTCCCTTATAATATATGCTTTAGGGACGTAAGGTGAGGATAACAGAAATAGGTAATCGGGTTTAATGATTGTTGAAAATAATAAACTTATTTATTGTGGGTTGAAAACCATATATGCTCACCAGGCTCCCCAGCCTGACCCACTCAGTTTCTTGTATTACAGGTAGTGGCAAAAGCATAGTTGGATGATCTAACGAGAGATTATGGATTTTAGGCTAGTAGAAAATAAATAGAATGTTGTAAAGCCTATGTTGTTTTGAGGCCAAACTTTGTTTTGTGGCCTATGATGTTTTTGGTTTATGCTTATGATCTGTATCGATGATGACATCCCAAGTTTTGTAATGTAATGAAAATACATTTCTTTAAGAAATGCTTTGATAAATTTTATCACATTTTGTTTTGGGAACAAATTCCGCAACACTTTTCTTTGAAAGATTACTCTGATTTTATTTTAAAAGCATAAACGAAATCGGTCTTTTATGGCCGTAAAAATGGAGATGTCACAGTTCCCAAGTACCAAAAACCACACATGCAAGAAGATAAATGCTATGTGGCAAATCATAGTCTTTCCGTTCATTGCCAAGGGCCAAATCACGGTCTTCCATATAAATGTCAGGGGTCGAATCCTAGTCTTTCATATAACTGTGAGGGGCCAGATCCTGATCTTTCATACAAATATCAAGGGCCAAATCCTGGTCTTCCATATAATCATTACATAACATTTAAAATTCTACACCACAAACAATAGGCCGACATTGGTGCCTTCGACCCATGGATCTAGTGAGGAAACTCACCTCAACTGCTGAAAATCCCAGATAAACGCACTGGCCGCTGGACTGGAGAAATCCCCGTGCTAACTAAACAATCGAGTCCCAATTAATAATTGAGACATAACCCAAACTAGAAACCTACAACACTTGCCTAATGTCCAAGGTAAAATGGGCCAAACTAGTCTTTAAAGCCCAATAAAATCCTAGGCCCAAACCCAAGGATCATCCAAGGTCCAAAATGAGTCCATCATCTAAAATGGCCCAACAGCAAGAAAGTCCATGGTCCAGCCCAAGTAGCAAGCCCAACAATTAAGGACCAAAACACACCCCAAATTGGACTGGACCGTACGCTCGGCGTATCGATTGGTGCGTGCAGCGTACTTGGCCGAAGTGGGAGGATCGCGGCTGGGATGCAGTACGTGCCACGTACAGGGAGTTACGTACGACGTACGCACCCCTCATGCAACCCATGCAAAAATGTATTAAATCCTTAAGACTCAACGACCAAAACTTAGATCTGAACCCACTAAGACCTCTAAGGCCATAAAGTTGCAAACTTTATGCCTGCATGGCTACAAGAAGCCCAACACTAAAAATGTAGCCTATTTCACCATTTTCTACACTCTAACTCTTGGATGGGGACAAATCAAGGTCCAAGCTTGCATCTTTATGACTTGAGATCCCTTAAAACGTCTGAAAAGACACCTTGAAGGCTCAGGAGTACCTCATACTCATCAAGCCCTAAACTCTGGGGAGAAAAACGATGAAAACAAGCCTTAACTAAGATCTAAAGAAACACAAGCCAAGTTTGGAGCTTTATACCTCCAAATGGTGCAAAATGAAGAGGAGATGTTGGATCCAAAGTCTTGAGGGAAAAACTTTCTCCTTGAAGATCCTTCTTCCCAACCAAGGAAGTACACAATCACTCCAAAAAGCTTAAAATGAACTAGGGTTTGTAAAGAGTGTTGATCTTGGGATGGACGCTGATGAAGGGGAAGGTCTTAGGGCCACAATGGGATGGAGGCTGAAAAATAAAGACACTGGACTTGACTTACCGTTTTAGTTCTTTTGATCTTTAGATATTGTTCTTGTCTTTTTGAATGACACTATGACAACCTTGAAGTTTTGAGTCTTTTGAACAATCAAGTGCAGATCAACAATGGAGAATCAGAGGATATAGAAAGAAATACACAGAGAAGCCGAATGCACTTATTTTTCAAAGAATGGAGAATCAATCAAAGAACATAGAAGGAAGAGAAGAAGAAGTAGAAGTGAAGATTGAAGAATAGAAGGTATTTTTTTAGACCCGGTTCAAGAATCGAGAATGAGAAGAGAAGGAAGAACAGTCGCTTTCAATTAATCAATTTGGTTGTTGATTTTTGTAGCATACGTAGGTTAACCTAGAAAATATAAGGAATCGTGATTTCTATTTTGTTGAAATATCTTAGGTCAAGTGGGGCCCTCTGGAAGTGGGGGCCCTAAGCTAGGGCTTAATTATCACTAAGGTAGAGTCGGCCTTGCCGGTGATCTTTATAGCAAGCACCCTCTTAATGGGAATACTTGGTAAACATGTTCTTAATGGTTGACATGGATGGAAACCATCAAATCATCCCCTAGCCTACAAAGTGGGAATCTAATTTGCTATCTTTTCTAAATGCCTAATTAGTAACAGTTGTATCAAGATCAATATGGTTCAATATGTCATTCTCCACATGTAGTCAAATCATTCAATTTTTTTGTGATAATGATGACATTAAATAATTTTTCCAAAACTTAACTTTAAAAAACTTCTATTTACAAATTGAGAGGTCAATAAGAGTCTCTATGCAATGTAAACATTCCAAATAACAACCTGGAGTATTGAAAACTTCTTAATTTCAATAACAAACAGCATCTTATTCGGTAAATTCATTTGCAACAACTGCAATTCAGAAAACAAATCATTTGAATCTACATCAACCCTATGGTCAAGAGAAAATGTAGTTGTAAACTTAATACACAGCATTTTATACTATTAGATTTGGAAGTAGGGTTGGGAGTTTAAGGACTATCAATCTTTCCCTATCGGCTATTTATTATAAAGGTACAATGGTGGAGAGTGGAGACTTAAAGAAAACAAGGCTATTTGTTATAAGATTATTCGAGCTATTAAAAATAATGAAGAGAAGTATTCCGCTTTTAAAGTCTTCAATTGCAAATTGGGGATCTGGCGCAATATGGTAAAAATCGAGAAAGAGCTGTCAAAACTCATAATGACACAAGTCGAAAAATCTAAAACTAGAGCTGCCGGAGTCAAACTTGACCAGATTTCAACTCGTAGCCTCTATGCTAGATTCGACTCATGATGTTTATTGATCCAAAGTATGTATGGAAGTACTACAACAAAAAGACAGGCATGGGACAAGCCAGACTGTGCAGTCTTTAGAGTTCATTTGCTATATCTGCCAATGATGAGTACGTTCCCACGACCATGCAAACGATGCCCAACACCATAATACAAATGCTCAAACCAATCTACAAACATTTTAACAACCCTCATTGTCAATTTCGAAGAACAAGGATAGAAGTACAAAATCTTTTGATTAAATGATCGAGATTATGTCTTATAACTTACCTGCGTAGTCGTGGCCTTACTCCCACTGATCATCAAAAAGCATAGAGATGGCAATATGAGAGACTGCACCAAAAACACGTATGAGCCATGAGAAGAGATAAAAGGAAACGAACAAGGATATGAAATGCTAAACTCGAAATTGCATGCTTACCACCAAAATACATAAGACTGAACCCATCAAAGCCATCACAAGACCTGTATTCAAGAAACAAAATCATTTGTATCATTCAATGTGGTTGTGAAATTATTGAAAAGACACTGTAATTTAATTGATCGATACCGAAGAAGGGAATAGATAACGCAATGCAGACAGAGGATGCAACAAGTGCAATCCGTAGAGTAATAAAACACCAATTGCTACGTGCAACTTTAGCAGGAAACAGCTCTTCGATGGCACTTGCCAAAGGGTTCATCAACAGGGCATACGTATGAAATGTTAAGGAGCGACTGTTAAATAGTTTGCATAATCCTCTTGTGGTATCAAAATCCATTTCAAATATGAATTTTATAAAACTTCCATTGTAGACCTTAAAGAAATGACATGAGGGATTGGTACAGGAATCAAAATTTTACGTTTCTTTAATTATAAGTTATATTATATCACAAAAAGGATATTTCGTGACCGGATTGATAATCTGTAAATATGTAAAAGTAGTTAAAATCTATAGTCGAAAGTAAAATCATGAAAATAAACCAACCAATGAACACTTACTACAGTCAACAAAGCAACTTTTGAAGCAACTGCATCCTCAGGCATGTTCAATGTTATCTGGGACAACGATTGTTCTCCAAACATGAGAAAACCCGCAATTGCAACACTCCCATACATCAGAAGACACAAAATAAAGCTGCAAAAGAATCGATAGTGGAAGGTTGATCAAGAGTTAGTTATGATATATCATAGCCAGTAATGAAACATCACTCATCAGGTTCTTGAGAAGTTTTTCACGTTTTTCTCAAGTAGTACTTAGATTGATATTGAAATTAAAGTGTCTCACCATATTATCATTGCCTTTGTAAACTTAGTTTTATCTGCCATTGACTGGTATATATTTGGGAACACACAATGTCCAGAAAAGCAAAATCCATAAATACCAAGTGCGAAAGCAATGCCACCCAATTTTATAGGTGGACCTCTTTCATTAAAGCCCACGTTCACTGTACCCAGCCAAAACACACAGATGATGACCATAAGAGTAGCCACAACACCAGTAGCTGCATGCAAATCGATAGAAGATTGTATACTCTTAATTCAACAACGGGAGAGCTGAAATATATACACCATTAATGATGATAAACTTTACCTGAAAATAATGAGATCACTCGGGGGTTTTTTACTAAAAGCGTGGATCCCATAACGACAGCAGAAAGAACTGCAAACATGTGAACCGGGTCCGTATTGATGCTACCCCATTGCAGCGATACACCAGGGAACAAACTAGTGAGATTGTCTCCTTCCAATATAATGAACTCCACACAATATGCCTAAATTTTAATGGCCAAAATCAACGCTATGAGGTTTGAGCTATAAAATAAGCAATCATGGACGACTAAGAAATAGTTTACTTACATAGAGTGACGTGTACAAAATGATCTGCACGAAAAGAATTGAGTGGATTAATCAGTATCGAATTGAAACTATTACTTAACAATACATAGAGTGGTTAACTTTTCAAACCAATCTTGCTTGGATTTACGTTGCAAAGAGATCATCTTTCTTATAAGTTACAAAGATGCAACAAATACACTATTGTCGACATAAGTTAGTGATCTTAGACACCAAGTGAAGTATTTTTTTTTTAATTAAGGCTTGAAAAGTCAATCACGTACGTATGAAATAAATTAAACTTACTGCTATTGTAAGGCGTCCGTATTTCCCAAATGCAGCTTCTCCAATATCGGGATATGTTTGAATGGTGTCTTTACTCTCGAAGCAAAGTTTCATGAGATAAGCGGTGTAGCAACATATTGCTGCAAAAAGGAGTAGGATTCCTACGCCAGCCCAGCCAGCGGTAGCTATTGTATTTGGCATAGAAAGAACTCCAACTCCAACCATCACATTCACCGCTGATACAACAAATATACCAGTAAAAGTTGATTAATAGAATGATAAACAAACACATGATCATAAGATGTTATATATGATCTATATATATATCGACTGAATTAAAGAAAATGATGATGAGATTTTCTCACAATTGAAAACAGTCTGAGTGACGCTACATCCAAAGGCAATGGGAAGCTCATCGATTAGTTGATCAGGCAAAGAACCCTTTCCTGACCATGTTGATATCTTTCTTGAAATCCTATCTACATCCTCTTTGCTAAAAACCTTTGAACATTCTATCAGCAACTTAGACTTTATATTATCACCAAAATTAGCAGTACTGCTATCAATCCCCGGTTCATACATTGAATATATAGAACCCGATGGGCGTCTAAGGAATGCCACACTTGGTGTTGCTGAAATTGAGTACGAATCAAGTGTATACCTGCAATAATGATATATTGTGGGTATAAGACTTCAAAAAACTAAACAAATTAACTCATTTTTTTCAATTTCTTTTTTTTGAATATCAGTAAATTAAGAACCCAAGCAAACAGTACAATAATTTTCTCAAGGTTGAACCCTAATTTTATTGCAACCCATCATAAAACATAGGCTTATCATTTCTACATGGCATTGTGTTGGAGATTATTAACAAAATAAATAAATGTAAATCCCAAAACAACAGGCATATATAAACGTCAAGAAAAAACCAAAACTGAAGCATATGAACGCAATAGATGAAACTGAAACTAACTTGTAACTCTGTGGCCATTGACCAGTAGCTTGAGAAAACGACGATCTACGACTGGAAACATCATCGGTGTCATCATCATCACTGTTATTTGCTTCTATATCATCATTATCGTTGTCATCATAATCGTCTTCGATCGCGAAATAATCTGTGTCCTTCGCTTTACCTGCCATCTTCTCAATCAGAATTTAATTAAATTCCAAAAGGCGTTACGCGATACCCAGATCAGAAGTCATAAAAATTCTCTATCTTTTTCGATCTACTAATACCATGGATCAAAGATGTAGGCTAATTCACGGATACATTTATGTAAATGTACGTGTCAGGATCTTGATGCGTCCTCATATGCATCTACTCGACCATGAGACTTGTCTGTCATAATCGCGTAGACGTGATGCGAGTTGCGAAAAGAAAGGAGGAGAGAGATGATGAATCGACAGACAGTTGTCGAAGTATGATGTTTGTTTACAGATGAATAGGTAACATGGAAGTTCCATGGACAACGACCGACGCGGATAATGGGTTTGAATGGGGAGGTGGATTTGTCTTTTCGTTACCCATTTTGTCATACCGAATAAGATTGGGTTATATTATAAAAAAATGGAAACTCTTTTGTACTTGACATTTGACATGGGTCTCATTGGTTCATCTAATTTAATACTTTATCTTTGATCACATGCCATGCGTATGTGAAAAGAAAAATATGACAGAATAGCAATCTTTTGGAATATGAAAATTGAAAAATATGATTTTGAGAAATACAAAAGATATTGTTATAAATAGTTAGTCAGTTGAAGGTTGAGACATGGATCAACTGATGATTAATTTTCAATCTTTATCAAATCTTTCAATACTACTTGTTATTTGATGATATGTATAAATACTATTAGATATATAAAATAAAATGAAAACACATAATTTGAATTTTTGAATATACTTATGATCAAATTCTCTAATCAAAATAATTAAACAAATGCAAATAATATTTATGTTGATCAAGATATATATTTTTTTGAACAACCAATTCCTATAAAAAAAAACTAGCAAAACGCTAAAGGAGGAACCAATTACAGAGAGTCGAAGGGGATTTTGCAACCACTGGGTCTAAGAGATACTACTTGTACTACATCTATTCGAAAGCAAATTAAAAGAATGAATGACAATACTTTCAAAAATATTAGTTTTCCTTATGATGTGCGTTTGAAACAACATACTATTCCTATAAGATAAAATAACCCAATTTGTGGTGATAAAAATTACTTCAATCGCTCTTCGTTTCGATCATCTCAATGCAATGCTATCAACCCAACTCATAATCTCAAAGACATTCACAAACAAAGGAAAAAAGAAGATTAAGCCACTTAACCACTTTGTTTCAAATTTCTTTGGCTATTTCACAAACAAGAAACACATGGCTATTGTTTTAGTAAAAAATAATTTAAATAGAATCTAACCAAATTGTATGAGAGGCTGTGATGTTCGTGATAAATCAAGTAAGAAATGATAATCAAAGTGACTTACAAGGAAAGCTCTTGATCCTTGATAGGATCTCCGACATAAAACCTTGGGAGGTGATGATGATCACATGCCTTGATGATTTTATTGATATCAAATGTTGAATATAGAGATGAATGTGTAAATGTAAGTACAAGTATCGTGAATTAGCTCAGTGTCTCCCTAGTGTGCTAATTACATGTGTTATTTATAGTCTAATGTTAATAACAAGAAGTCCGATAATTCCGGGATCCTCCAGAATCAGCATATGAACGTTATTTGATTTGGTATTCCGAGTCTTTTGCCTGGTTGAGATGACTCTCCGTTAAGAATGGGTCTTGTGTTGACTCGTTCTGCACACATGAGATAAATAAAGAAAATATAGTTGTTACAAGTGTTAGAAATATTAGTGGTAATAGTCAGGATCCCGGGATATGTTTAAGGATCCTGAAGTTTCAGGAATATTTGAGGATCTTGAATATGAGTCAAGGATCCTGCCCCTAACAATTGCCCCCAAATTATACCTGCGAAATATAACCGTTAGTGTTTTAAATATTTAGAGGTATAAGTTTTAAATAAAAATTGAAGTAAGAATTTCCAACGGATGGGTAATTTGAACCTTAATGGGTAGATTTCTAGTCGTTGGGAAGGGTCAAATCACCTTTTTACCTCTCACTGATTCCTATATAAGTAAGATATGGAGCTTCTTCGATTTCATCTTACTCTTATCCTTTCTTCCAGAAGTTCATCGAACATCATTGAAGGTAGTATTTTTATTCGTTTTGTCCTTCTTCCTTCTTAGTTTTCTTTTTATTAAGAATGGCCAAGAAAGGCTCTCGTTCTCGTGCACACATCATAACTATACCTGATGATGATTTTGTTGATCAGAAGCTCATTTCCTATGAGGAAACTTGTACCTTCGATGATGATAGTATTGAAGTTTTGAGTTCGAGTGGAACTTTTCTCACTAGTACTGTCTTCAATCCTTTCGATGTTAAGATCCAACCTTATTTTATTTCTTCTGTTTGGGTTTGTTTTCATGAGTATCCTTTTACCTTAGGTCTTGTCTATCCCTTTTTCGGGGTCATTTCTGAATTTTTTGAAATCACCAAGATTTCATATATTCAAGCCATGCCAGCAGTTTGTACGATCCTTTATTGGACCGACAATCTGATTCGCTCCACCGGTCTCAAAATTGGTCTAAATAAATTAACTTATGTTTACGACCTTTCTACCTTTGGAAACTCTCGCTTTTGTTGAAAGTTAAAACCACCGGATCACCTCTTGTTCTAAAGTCCAAGCATAACGATGGTGCTTGGAAAGGAAGATATTTTTTCGTAAAACGTGACTCGATTCCTGGTGGAGATCTTCTACCTTAATCCTGGGTTAAAAAGGGTTCCTAATTTTCATAGCGAGGATCCCAATATTCCCACTTCTTATTTTGTTTAATTTTTTTTGCAGCTTTCAAGTTTGAGGAATTAGTTCCCCTGCTAAAGATACGGAGGATAGGATCAGAGACTTCCTTGCTCTGCCCGAAGCTATCAAGACATTCAAGATCGATTTTTCAAGTCATCAAGAAAGCTCAACCGCTATCATCCCTATGGCTACCGGTAGGGATACTTGAGTACCTTCAGCTTTAGTCTTTGAGAGATTATTAAGATTTCTTTGGTTTTCGTAGGATCTAAAGCAACGCATGCCAGTGCTCATTTCTCCCTTTCTGATCTTGATACGACTGTGTCAAGTGGCCAGATATTTGTGAAGAAAGAGAAAACTAACTCCTCCCTTGTCTCAAAAGGCCCATATTGACCTAACTATGAAAACTCTGGGATCCTGGGAGAGGAAAACTCATGAAGCTGTGAATCTAAACTTGGAAAATCTTGGAGCTGAGGATGCACTTCAGAGGCTGGTCTCCTTTTCTCAAGTTGTAGGTGTTAGTGTTGCTTTTCTTTCTTACGCTTTGCCTTTCACTCTTTTTAATGTAACTCTTGCTCTAGGTCTTTGATCGTGTCTCTATAGACTTGAGGATCCAGGCTGAGAAGGCTAAAGAAGCTTTAAGAGAACAAGAAAAAATATGGAAGGCGACCAACGAGGATCTCCTAAAACGAGTGGAACTCCTAAGCAAGGGGAAGGATGAGAAAGAGGAGGAGCACGATGCAGAGTTGGCGTAGGTGATCGCCAAAGTGAAAGCTAGCGTAGTCATGGCTGTTTGGGAGGCCAAGATCAAACTAGCTGAAGATGTGGCCAACGCTGGATCTTGGAAACTGGCTGGGTGGCGCACAACCCTCGCTGAATTAAAGGGCAAATCTGTCAAAATCGACGAGGATCCTGAGGGGAAACATCTGAAGTCGAATGAGGAGAAGAAGATCCCAGGCGATGATGACCAGGCTACGATCTAGGTCTGTTAGATAGGAATATTTTGCATGATTTTGTATAAAACGATGTTTGGTTCTTATGGAACCAATGTACCACTTCTTCGTTTATGTATGGTTGTGGTTTAGATTTCCATCTACATGGTTGACTTATATGCTTGTTATGATTGTAGATCTTATGAGGATCCTTATGCAATAGGATTCTAAAAAGTAAGAACTCTTAAGATCTAAATACCCTGAAATGGTTAGTAATCAACTTGGGATCTTAAAATAATTAAGATCTTAATCATTATGTAGGAAAAGTTAACTTTAAAGGATAGATAGAACCTGACTATCCTTAGGCTCTATGACCTTTAGACTTAGGAGAAGTCCTTTAGTATGATACGGGAAGATCCTTGCTTTAAGAATTCATAAGGGAGGATCCTTGATTGGCCCTGGCTCAGTGAAATTGGGAAGGATCCCTCCTTAGGAGTCAATTGGAAATAACTTCAACTTGGAAAATACCCGAGAAAAACTCTTGTGTGATAATGTTGTAACCCTTGCATATTTTTTGAGGAACACCCCAACTTTAGACAATCCGTTGGCGTCATAACTCTTAGAAAATCTCAGGAGAAAATCCCAACCTGAGATAACACGTCAGTATTACAATCCTTAGTAAATTACTGGAGAAATCCCAATCCAATGTAAAAGGTTAATGTTACAAATACCGGTAAATTACTGGGGAAAATCCCAATTCTTATGATAACATGCCAATGTTATAAATCTTAGGAAATTTTCTAGGGAAGATCACAACTTGAGATAACATGTCAATGTTATAAACCTTATGTGTTTCCTGGGGAAGATCCCAACTTGAGATAACATGTCAAAGTTATTAACCTTATATTCAAACTTTAGGATCTTAACTTATGTTCAGAAATAAGAGGGTTGCCAAGTCACTGAATCATGAAATGATCCCCTTATTCACATCCCATAGTTAGATATCGTGCATCCAAGCGAGGTGTAGCAACCTTAACTCGTATGAAAGAGGTAATTAGCTCTTTAAACCTTATAGGGGATTAAGTACCCTTATTTGTAGGAGATATGATCAGTCTCTATTTGTAGTTACTATGGTATTTGCGTATTGTCATCGTGAAGATCTTAGAATTTTGTAGCCATTGGGATCTTTGAATGCCAGGATCCTTAAATATCAAGATCCTTGGGTTCCTACGCATAGCAAACGTTAGCTTGGGGCGAGCGTTATCTTGGCTAACGCCCCTCTGATGATTTAAGTTAGTAATGGTTTTCAAGAGAGTAAATAATAACAATAATGAAAATAAAGGGTAAAAGGTAAAGAGTATGTGTACCTTGAGTAAGTTGGAAAATGGCTAATCTCACTTACATGAAATAAGCTTTAAGATGTATAGGATTCT